CCCCCCCCCCCCGATTTCAAATATTCCGCACCTTATCCACAATCCCTAATTGTAAAAATATTTTTAAAGTTAAATATTGAGAAAAATGTTATTGATCGACAACCTGTAACCTGACCTGTAACCTGCGTTTTGTTGCTGTCGGTACTCAGCGCTATTATCAGACGTCATCAGTTTGAAAGCCGGAGGAAAACATTCACTATACAATCACTGTCCTCCTGTTTTTTCATACTATTGGGCTTGTGATTTTTTTCTCGATGTCAACCATCACCATTTTTTTTCACAATCCTCAGCCTCTCCCCCTCCGATTTTAAAAGGGTTACCCCTAATTAAATGTATACATGAACTAGTACCCGTTCATGGTCGTGTAACATATCAGCATACGCCGAGCGAGCTACTTCTTGGTGGTAATCGTATTCTTGATCTTGCATCATCCATTCAATTGCACCCGTTGTTGGGTTCATCCGAGAGAAAAATGCGTCTCCTGTTATCTGGGTTGTCGTCGACATGCTGTTGCAAAAATTAACACCAGGATTGGCAGGAATCAGACGACTCAGTGTCGCACGCGTGCACGATACAGTCCTTGGCACAATGATAGTGGACAGGTTTGTCACTCGAACATATGATCGAGCGAACAATCCTATAGTGGAAATGTCTAGTTTCCGTATCTTGAACTGAAATGTTGAAAAGTCAATACAAACAACTAAATATGATGTTGACTACGACTCGCTACTTTCCATGGGCGCAGCCATTTTGAATGCACTTGCTCACGCGAGAAGTTGTGAGAAAACCGCTTCACTCGAGACTATAAACCAAAACCTTCCACTTAAAATTAATGAGCAAATGGAAGTAAAATTAAGCACATTATTGGTGTACTCTACTAAACATGTTTGTCTATGCATTACCATGACGCAAATCTTTCAATAGTATGATTAATTTCTTTCACATTCAATATCTTGTTGCTGAACTATATTCTCATGTATGGATGCGTTATGCGGTCAGCTGCCATAACTAAAAATAACGTTATTGAGTTTGTTGACCCACTGTGGGATTGGCGTGGGGGAGATGAGCAATTTGTAACACGTCATCTAGATAATTCGTCCATATTTCGTGACAATCTACAAAGCTACATACTCGTCGGTATTTGGATTACTATTAAGCTTGATCACCCAAAAATATTTAGGCCACGGCAGAGAATTGTCTGGTTATACCCGGAAACAACCCTTGCACCTTGGACAACAACCCAAAACACGCTCGCTGTTGTTGGTGGTGAATCGGGGTTACGTCATTTCACCAGTTAGGATATTTAGCCAGAATGCCCGTCGTAAACGATGTAATGTTTGGCCGTATGCCGTTGCCAAGTTTACGGACCTATTCATTAATCAGCGTTCTCATGGTTTCTTTATCATTGTGGTATTCCCACCAAGTCGTTTTGGACCGAAGAGTGAACGAAGCATTACAAAATATTATTGCGGACGCAGAAAAAAGGACACAGTTGGATATAAACGAAGTGGTAAACACCGCGAATGAAAAATCGAGCATTGACGAGGAAGGGTTGGTTGGTGAATATAGATTTGATGCATCAAATTTTATAAATAAATCCGACGACGACGGTGGCGGTGTCGGTGGTGATCGTAGTAGTGGCGTTAATGATGTACAATGGGATGAACAGAATGAGTTAACAGGTCCGACAACTGAGCAAATTATAAAACAGTTTGTCGCACAGTGGGATGTTGTAAATGGGGAAACAGATAGTGATGGAAATGATGACAATGAAATAAAAGACGAGACTGATGAAGATGTCGCTGTCGAGATTGATGTTGGCGAGGTTGTTGTTGAATTGGAACCAAGAAGCCATTTGGCTCAAATGATTGATGTTATGATGGACGAAGCGTGGTGTGTATGGGTAGGTATCTTTTATACTGTTATAGTCATTTACAGTACGTGGTATAATCTATCAAAGTTGGCTGAATAGGTGATTACCAAATAATGTCCACTTTATTGTGGGTTATATCCACTCTGTGAAGAGTCCTCAATTGAATTTGTTTACTTTTATCAAGTTTTGAATGTTTTTATGACATCCGCTATCCAGGAGTGTTTTTTTTTTTTCTTTCTCTCCCAACATTTGTTGCATTAAATGATGACTAGAAAACTAGATACTGTAGAATACTTTATTTTCGCTTGGAATTAATTTTCGCTATTTTCGCTGAAGGGATGATTCCGTGAAAATAAAATCCAGCGAATATACTTTTTTTCCTATATTTCACATTAAACTCATCAAAAATCAGTGAAAATAAATTCCAAGCAAAACGCCCAAAAAGCCTTTTCAGCGAAAATTGAATCCAGCGAAAATAAAGTATTCCACAGTAAATGTTTTCTGATATTGAGTACATGTATCATGATAAATCTAACACTGCAATGTACTGTAAACTGGTTAATTTTTCCTATCTAGGAATTTTTCATTTTGTGAAAGTTGCTGTGATTCAGTGTTTTTTCTGGCCTCAGTGAAATATTCACTGCTAACAACATTTTGCTCTATTTTCACTGAACATTTCTCTCTTGTAAAATCGAAAAAATGGTTTACAGCTTATTTCTATATTTCTATGCTCTTGTATTAAAATGCTTGGCTAAGCTTAGCTGTTAGTTATAGCTTTAGGATTCTATTATGTGGTAGGCCCATCATAAAGCCCCCAATCACATAACAGGATCCTTCATAATCTGCAAACCCACAGCTAACTCAATCCATACTTGTATACAATATTTTTGTTTTTTATTTCAGTCAATCATCAACATGGCATATTGTTGCCTTATATTATTGGCCAAGCTAATACAACATGTAGTGTTTGGACAGTTAAGAGTCAGTGAGAGACAGGTAAGAAACTATATACATGTATTAATAATTTTTAAATCAATTTCCTGTATTGTATTGTATTTAATTTAATTTAATGTGGCATAGTTCATTGTGTGTTCCTATACATTGTTTTAATTCCATTAATTCAGTAAGAAAATTAGTCACGACAATAAAATACAGGCAATTATGACTACACTTCTCTAAGCTGAATTGTGTGTTTTATTAGTAAATTCGCTTCGCAGTTCAACTATAAAACAGTCTAATATATTATTTTGTCATCTATGAGTAATTTGTTATAAGTGCTGGTCACCATGCTGGTGTGTTGAGCTTGTCCTTCAGTACCCTCATATTATCAATGTTTTTGCTAATTAATAATTAATTATTCAGAATTAATGAGTCTGTTTGTTTTGTGGTTAATTCTGTTTCATTGACTAATTGTCTTTTCTTGGTTAACACAAATCAGGCACTGATTTACTGCTGGTGTATAAACTGTAAACTATAATCTGCTTATTTTTTTTAGTCAAAACTGTTAAAGAAGCAATGTGAATTACTTTGAAACATGTTTTAAGAATTTTGTGAATACAAATATTCTTGTTGCAATCATATAGCGGTATTTGTTTGAAAATACTGAAAACACCATTTTTTAAAATTATCTATAATGTATCTGGGATGCATTCACATTATTCAGTTCAATTCAGTACTTTATTATAGACTGTAATGGGAATATCCAACATACAGCAGGTTCATATCATAATCTAAAATAATTTAAATAAATTGAGATTTGTACATGTGGTAATTAGTTTTTCATTATTTAATCAATGAATACTTCTATGTTCATTGTCAAACAGGGTTTTATCTTATGCCTGCTGTCAATTTTGTAATTTTATATTAGATTGTATTTTAGAGATTTTGTTTTATTTAGTAATTTAGTGATTGTATTTGTTATTTGTTTTTTAGTATATTGTGTTTTTGTTTTGTTTTTTATATATATATATTTCTCCTTGTACTTTGTGACCATTTTCTTTCCCTCCGGGGATTGTGTAAGAGTCAATAAGTAAATAAATAAATAAATCATGATAAAAACTTATCTTTATGGTTTTATGAAGATGTAACATCGAAAACAATTATTTAAACATTCCCAAAATACTATCCACATTACTTTTGAATTTTAAGCATGTCAGGGGAGGCAACAGTGACATTCAATGTCTGGAACTGTCGCCGGTCACAAAAACATTTAAAACAGAAAGGCTTGCACATTGTTAAAAATAACTATAACCATCATTTGTTGCTCTAATAGGAACAGAAACTGTTATGCTATTGATGCCATGGAAACTGGCTGTGTCCACACGGCCAAACAATATATTTTGTTTTGTCTGTCAGGGTCAATGCATACATTAAATGTTAATACATTTTAATCAAGATAACAGTTTTTTTTTCCTGATTTATGCTTATCAAAAACAATATTCTCGCTAAGAAGACATGTATTCCCGATTACTAAATCATGAATGTCCAATTGTCTGCCAACATTCCATTTAAATTTCTTTTATAACGTTTTATTACTGGTCTCTTGCATTTTTATTTGAGACGACTTGTGAACCCTTTCAAAGGTGATGATAGAAACAAATAAAAAAAATACAACTCACTTTTCTGTATATTACTTAATATTTGTCCTGCAATACTGTGTTCTACAGAGCAACATGTATTTGCTTTGTTAGTATTACTATTATTTAATATTTATTTATTTCACCAGAATGACCATATTTACAGAACTTAAAAAAAATACAATGGTTATAATTCTGGTGTGGACCATGAAAAAAGTCCTTATGTCCTATGGTCCAGACTGTCAAGTAAAAATTGACAAAGTAATAGTAAAACAAAGGAAAATTACTATTTACAAAATGAAGTGATCTATAAGATTTAGATATAAACATGAAGAAAATATTATGTATAATGATAATATAAATGAACTACTCACTGGTACTACGAATTTATATGCAGAAGAAAAGAGAAAAATGCAGAGAAGTGGGAAGTAATCAAGGAATTTAACAAAGCAAATAATATTTCATTTCATATTCAAATTTGTTTCTGTTTTTGATATTTTTGAGGGATTCTGGAAGTGAATTCCAGTGTTTTACTGCAGCAAATTTAAAATTATGTTGTGAAAACCCCTACCCTAGTCACAATTCCTTCGTACATGTTTATAACAAAATTGGGTGCATGATATACTCGTATATGTATTAAAGCCATAAGAGCTTCCAACAGGTTGTTTTTTCTTCCTGGTAGTCTATGTTGACTGAGTGAGCTAGCTGTGGGAGGGGGGGGGGGATTACATTTTAATGAATGTCAAAAAGCCCTCTAGTAAATTTTAATCAGCCTACTGAGATTATTGCTTCTGAAACCATTGAGGTGGATGTTGGAATTAGAAGCACACTAACAAGACATTATTATCTGTTTTGTAAACTTAATTTAAAAGCTTCGTACATTTCCCAAATTATTAATTAATTACCGTAAACATGGAACAAGTAAATTTTTAGTAATTTTAATTTCAATGGAAAACAAAAGTCTACTTAAAACACAGACAGTATAGTCCATAAAGTTGTTTAGTATAGGTCTTCAACATGGCATTTAAAAGGGGAGCTGTCAATCCCTGGGATTGCACCAGGGAATCACTGGGCACCATTGTGTATATTGTTTTATACTGTATTAAAATTGAAATTACTGACTTTTTAAAAGTGAAATCTTCACTTGGAATTACAAAATTGTGAAACTTGCAGAAATTTCTTTTGTGAAATTAAAACGATTTACAGTTGTACTATGCCATTTAGGTAAAAATGTCTTTCTTAAAGAGAACTTGTCACTGACCATTAAATAACCTGAACACATTCAAACGATTGTATTTCTAGTTTCGTATCCTTTTGTGTATGTTTCGTGTGTGGTAATTGAGTGTCAATGCGAGCATGACAGCTATAATAAAATCGATTACGACCCATTTAGCTTTTACACTATAAATGTATTTGCATAATATATTTATGACAGTTATACACATGGTAAATTAATTAATGAATATTATTATTGTAATTTTTTTAAAACCCAATATTTTATGCTTAGATAATTTTTTTTATTTTGTTGCAAATGCCTAAGAAATCATACACTGTACTCGGTATTTTTGCTTGTGTAAACTATGTGAATATTCTGACTGCTTTCTCAATTATATGATTATCATAAAATGATGTAAATATTTTGACAACTTGCTCAATTATATTATAAAGTTAATAACTATTGCCAAAGAAATCTTAAAAACGGCATGTAAAGACATGTAAAAAATAATCATAGGTAGTAAAGGCATTGTATGGATTTTCTAATTTCATAAGAGTTTGGAAAATCTTTTTTTTTTTTTTTTTTTTTTTTTTTATTTGATCCTAAAACATACAATAATATATATCATTATCATTTAAGAGTAATCAATGTAAATGAAAAAAAAGGTATGTAATAAGATGTACAAATAAAATTTATAAGCATCAAACTTGTGTGCAATTAATTTATATTTATATACATGTATATACAAACACTTTTTGTTATATTAACACTAATTCTAATTATTTAATTAATAGAATATGTTCTAATATTATATATTTACTTGTGGTGTTAATGATAATTTCATGATTAACCAAACTGATCCATTGACTACATATGATGTTGCATGTATGCAGGTGTTTCGTTAAGAGCGGGCTGCTCAAAGCCCAAATTGGCCGTCTACTTTCTGGTCTCTCAACAATCTCCCCCCCTCCCAACCGACAATGCCGGCCACAAGCCCAAATTGGCTGTCTATTTTCTGGTCCCCCAACCATCCCCCTTTGCACTGCCAAGAGCCTTTTTATTTATTTTTTGGGCTGTTGTTACAGGATGATGGCCTGCTCTTAAATGCATTTGTGGAACCCCTGATGTATCTTATGTTTGGCTAACATTTTATTGTGTAAATTTGACATTTTGTAGTGAATATTGATTTGATTTTTTTTGTCTGTACTTGTTTTATAAAATTAATGTAAACTGTTTAATTTTACAAAAGACAAATGTTTGCAAATTTCAAGTGTTAGGCAAACCAACATTTTTAACAATGAACATTCTATTTTGGATCTTTATGAGTTACTGGGACTTTCTAAGAACCCATTTAATGTCACTGGGGGTCATACACGTACATGTTGGGTGTCAGTGATTTTCACTGAGGTCCTAGGGAGTCCCAGTAACTTTCACTTAAGGGGGTCAGAATGACTTTTGTTGTATTTCTTTGAATGGTGCCAAAGGACACCCTTCCTAGAATTTTGTATATTTTATTACATTTTGAAAAAGACCTGTAACCAATTTGGTCCAAAAAACTAACTGTGTGTGTTGTTGCTTCAAACTATTCAAATTCGATTATAAAATACTAGTATATATTATCAGATTTCAAACACTACATGCTGCTTTCATACTGTACACTGATCTAGAAATTAGTCTAGTCTGCTTTTAATAGTTCTTTATATCACTTTAAATGCCAGTTTATTTCTGTCGTCTTTTGCAAAATAATTATGTATAACTGTCAAAACTTGAACTTCGATGTTTTAGGTCACCAATTCTAGTCATGAGTTGCCTTAGAAGTTGACCATTAGCAACTCAAAAGGGCTAGATTTTGAAGAAAAAAAAATATTCTGTATAGAGAAATTGTTTATAACGACAATAGTTACAATTAAGTTATAATTACAGATAGAAAACAATATATAAAATAATATATGCATTTGATAGAGAGAAAAATACATACCCGGGTAACAGACTTAATTTCACAGTTTTTCTGCCTTCTTTCTCTGAAGTCAACATTATAATTACCCCGGTATATTGTAAATGAAATATCTGATTGTTATGAAGGTGGAGGCCTTTGTGGCCATCTTCAAGCCCTGCAATACTATAAACTCCTTTACTTTTGTAAAAAAACCTATTGGGATCTTCAAGACAGAGAATTACAGCCACTATCAGTCAAATTATTATATCCCAAGAATTTATAGCAGCGAAAATTAGACAATTTGCAGTTCTGGGGATCCTGACAGTTTTTATTGTGTAATTCTAATTCTATCTATACAGCATCTAAAGGACAGATTCTGGAACTTTGTGTTCCACAAATTTATCTTCATTTTTGGTGTTATGAACGTGCAAACAATGGAAGAGATATTTGTCTGGTCCACCTGGTTCTCCATCTTGGGTTTTCTACATCTACTGGCTCAGATGAGTAAAGACAGATTTGAATACGTAAGTACTGTAAACCATACTATTTTCGCTAGTAGAAAAGTTTGCTACCGATATTTCATAGTTTGCAAAAGTCACTGTGACTGCCTGTCAAGTACTGTAAAATAATTTATTTTAGCTGGAATTAATTTTCACTGAAAAGACATTTTTGATGCTTTGTATGGAATTTATTTTCACTGATTTTTGATGAGTTGAATGTAAAATATAGGAAAAAATGTATATTTGCTGAATTTTATTTTCACTGAATCATTCCTTCACTGAAAATAGCGAAAATTAATCCAAGCAAAAATAAAGTATTTTACAGTACCTCAGAAAAATAAATTTGTCTTGTGAAATTAAAACATTTCACAGTATGATTACTGTAGAATGCCAGACTACTTTTATTTTGGATTCCAATTAATTTTTGAAAACCGCTGTGTTTATATGTAACTTTATTTCTATGTTTTGCACAGCCATGTAAATGATAGGTAAACTATGTGTTTTTATTGGATTAACTTTCAGTGATTTAACCATCAGAAAAATATTACAATATTAAATTCCAATTGACAATGGTAACAGAAGTATGTTGTTACTCGTATGCGCAAAGTGTTTGTCATATCTTGTGGCTATTTCTGAAGACTTACGCAATATGATTACAATCTGAGAGGTGTTGATTACTCTTTTTTTTTTTCTCTCTTCAAAGTAATTTGGTCGTTGCAAGTTCTATCAAACATATGTTTTTTAAAGTAATGTTTTTTGTTCCAGGCGAAAATTTTCTGACATTTTTATGAGTAATTGATTATGCACATATTGTGAATTTTGCCATAAGAAACATATTCCATGTTTGAGACTACATGTACATCTTGATCACAAGGTTTGACCTCCCCTTTGTCTGTGACATACTCTCTCAAAGTATGAGGTCCACCCCTACCTTTTGGTGTTCAATATTATTTGGGATTTGAACTTGGCTTTACTTATCATGAATCTGGTGTAACAACAACTAAACTACGTTAATAAACAACCATCTGACGCATTTGTTGCCATAGAATGAAAGAAAAGACATAATGTATTATCAGATAGAGTTTCAGTCATTACGCAGTATGATGTCAATTACGTACTTTGATATAGCAAGTAGAAGAAATTTAATATTCTGTATCTAAAGTAAAACAGTGCAGTGTTGTAGGCATTTTATGTTGATTGTTACAAAGCTGTTGGCGGTCAATCCATCACAAACAGTGTTTAAGTAGTTGCAAAACATGAATATATGTTTGCTTCAAACCACCGAGTATTTCTTTTTATTATTAAGTGATGCACCCAACTAGAGGATTTATAGCTATTATATTGAAAATAGTTTTTACATGTAGTTCTGTTTAATCAAATACTTTGAAGTGCTGCAAAACAGAGATGTACTTTTAATGTATAAAATTGCATAACATGAATTTGCTTTTAGAAAAATTAAACTTAAAATCTTATTCTTCATTTTTGCTATACATTTTTTGTAATTGATTTCCAGTTATCGTTCTCACCAACAACCCCAAGATGGACCCACGCAAGAGTTTTATCGTTGTTATGTTTCATACTACTTACATGTACAGGACTGATGGGTGTCAGTGTTGCCATCGGATTTCAACTTGGCCTTCACATCTTTGCTTTCATGACTGCCGAGGTATGTTTTTCAGCAGTTGATTTAACATACTGTGGAATACTTTATTTTCGCTGGAATTATTTTTGCTGAAAAGGCTTTTTGGGCGTTTTGTATGGAATTTATTTTCACTGATTTTTGATGAGTTTAATGTGAAATATAGGAAAAAAAGTATATTCGCTGGATTTTATTTTCACGGAATCATTCCTTCAGCGAAAATAAATTCCAAGCGAAAATAAAGTATTCTACAGTAGTCACCAGTGTTCCCTCTAAGCCTTAGTTGTGCATAACTTTCTCAATGACTTCATAAAGTTTTTTAGTAAAATGACATGATCTGATCAACCACTAATGTCATACAATTAAATCTACGAAAATTAGTATTTAACTTTATTGAAGTTGCTCAGTGCCACTGAAGCCATCTTGAATTGATATCCGTGATAAACTCTCAAGGGAGTGGAAACAGCCTGTAACTCTGAATGTTCAGTTTATTATTGCATCTTTGCCAACTAATTTACATATTTCATTGCTTTTGACCCAGTGTTCATGTTCAATCCTGGAATATACATGTTATATTAAATTATGAGATTTTATTTTGGAATCAAAATTAAATAAAAATTATTTTTGAATCATTCATCAATTACAATCAAATTAAATTAGAATAAGTTATATAGGTAATGATAATACTATGATACAACTATCTAACATTATAGTTTTGGATAAGCCATATTAACTGATGGTTGCTACTCTGCTTTATATGTAGGTCATGACACAGATTGAGTTCAGTACACTATTTTAAGCCCAGTCTATTGTCTTTGTTTCAATTACATGTTGAAACATATGGTGGTTGAATTTTAGTTCATACATGCCTTGAATCTACTGATTTACGTTGTGTAATTATATTCGTGCCATCTCAGGTGATGGTAATAATGACGTTAATAACAAACTGACAACAGGTGACCTTATCTTTAGTTCATTATTAACGTCATTCCTGATGGTGTACATGTATAAACTCGACTTCCGGATGAGCACACTTGTGATGAGAGCTTTAATCTGCTTCCTATTTTTTATTTTATTTTTTATTTTAGAGAATTAAGCAATACAGAGTCTAAAATCATGCCTCCGTCCAATCCAATCAGTTACATTATATTTAACAACTACTGTAAAATGACTAATATTCGCTTGGTTTAAATTTCGCTAATTACACCATTTCAGGGGTTTTCAGTGGGTTTAGATAATGTGTTCTATGCTAAATTTGACATATTCACTAGGTTTTAATTTAGCGCATTTTCCAGTCAGCAAAATAAGCAAAATTAAACCATATCTATTATGATAAATACGTATAGTGTTAGTGATTCTGGGTGTAAATCCAATTGAATAAATGTATAATTTATTTGTAGTATACATGTACTTGTTTCCAATTATTCATATTCTTCACTCTGTGTTTTCTTTTCTTCGTTGCAGTGCATTTTACTTACGCTGAAAACACTCCATGTGATTTTAAGGTATGACAAGACCTTTACATTTCAAACAGGGTGTACTACAGTTTAATGTTCATTACAGCGTATTATTTTTTTTTCTTTCACTTAATAAAAGAATCAACTGATTAATTAATTATTAGTGTATTTTTAGCTGTTAATAAACATAATGAACAACTTTGTATTGACATTTGACCTCCAGTATTGGCATTACTACTGGCTCAGTATAGTTGGGTGAACTATATAGGAGTAGATCAAAATATAATGAAAAGCTTAAATTGAGTTTCATTGAGAATTGACATTTTATTTTATTTCATTTCATTTTATTTTATATTTAGTTCTAGTCTCATTTGTTTTTCTTTGATTGTGGTACATGTATATACATGTTGAGGTTCTATCGTGATACAGACTAATCCTGACTGTGCACATTGTTGTGTTGCCAATTGCTTTTGTGAGGTTATTTCATCAAATTAATATATTGAATATTTACTGTGTTGGGTTTCTGTGTACTTTAATATCAAGAAAAAAAAGAAAAAGCTATGACACTTTTGATTAATTAGCAGTTAAGTGAGAAAATAAATATATGCTGCATAGCTAAATATCAAAATTCTACATTATTATTATTATTATTATTATTATTATTATTATTATTATTATTGCTTTAATTTAAATCATAAGATTCATAGCAGAACAGAAGAAATAGGCTTAGGCTTAAATAGAATTAGACTGAAATACTGCTACATTAGCCATATTGCTAAAAAACTAAAAAAACATCTGAATACAAATGCCATTATTATTTTTGTTTCCATGATTATATTTGGACTGCATAAAACCAATGTGATGTTAAGTAAAATTCCTGTAGCGTTGACCATAATTGGGGAATTTTTCTTTTAATATTGCTGACATCATGGTAAACCATTGCTGTGTGAGCTAGTACTGATAACCTGTGCAAATGAGAATAATCTTTAAATCAATGTTTTCATTGTGGCTTTTGAGCCCAAATGTGAAACTAAATGTAGTTTACGGCTCTTACAACTTTTTCACCATCAGTTCCCTCTTTTCATCACAAATTCACAAAATAGTCTACACTTTCCTTAAAAAAATTGGGACAAAATCAGCAACAAATTTTGAGTAAACTGAAGATTGTGTCTGTTGGCACCAAAAAAGTGGTTCATTGGAATTGAAAAATAGTTTGAGTACCTCTGGTTGTTTTCTTCAAAGTTCTGAACTGTACATGTTGCCAGAAAGAATTTCGGCATTTTCCAAGAAATTCCTGTGTCAATAGTGTGTTAGCTATAAAGTCCATCCTTGAAAAAGTAATATAATGTAATAATTATTGTACTTCATATTTTTTTTCAGATACGCAATGCATTTGTATGATTTGAACCATGACGGTCTATGGGAAAATCGTGGCATGTATAATTACTATGCTGAACTCAGTATGGAGCTGTCTGCATTGTGCGTTGACATGTGTCATCATTTGCATATGTTGGTACGTTAAAATGAAATATGGTTTCATATAAGCTGATTTGAATGTTATTAGAGTTGATATTGTTTGTTTGTTTGTTTCGTTTTTTACTGGATAGTTAAAATCACCTGAATTCACTGTAAGCGTAGGAGTTGCCATCTGTCTATGCAGCAGACGACCATAGTGTGTTGTTGTTTACAAATATGTGTCTACCCATGATCCCCTTGGGTTTTAGCGTGCATTGTTAAGGTCACTTAGGTCTCAAATGCTTCCTTCACTTTTTTTTTAATATTTTTTTTATTTCCCATAACAAAAAAATTACAGGACTTTAATAAATACAGTAAATACAGTAATAAACAAAACAAATAAGAAAACAAAACAAAACCAACAAATAATGAAGACGGATTACCATGTAACTCCAATTGTATTGAAAAAAATTCTGGATTGAAAATTGATAAATGCACAAACCAACATTAGGTAAAATTACCCCACTTCACCTGAAACAATTCGATAGTGCTATTTTTACTACATATACAATATTCCATTTCTTTTGTTTCCATTACTTTTTTCTACCAGACGAAATGAAGGTGAAGTGCCATTTAATTTACAGGAATAAATAATTTGTTTAGTTATAATAATGATATGGTTCAATAAACTTGAGAACTAATCATCGCCCAGTAAAATTTGAATATCTGTGAAAGTGTCTGGGGTATTTAAAAATTCACCCCATCTATTACATATTGATGTCCAAAGGACAGTAACATAGTTGCATGTAACGAATAAATGTGTTAGAGTTTCATCGCTATTATGACAAAAAGAACAAAGGCTAGAGGTGACGAGAGGAGGTCTCATACGGTGAAGCATAGTATTCGTAAATAAAACATTATGATTTAGTTTCCACTGGAATTCTTGGAGTTTTGTTTCAATGGTAACTCTAAATGGTAACTTGAAAATAATTTCCCACTTAATTTCATTTAATTGAAACAACAGCTGAAAATAAGTTTTACATTTTGGTGGAATAAAATAAAGAGATGAAAGAGCATTCCGTATTACTTTACATGTTACCATATTCAATGGACAAAATATGTTGTTAATGTACAAACCAATAGGCAATTCTGGTCTAACAAAAAAGGGAGTACAGCCTCTCCATTCTGGTGGTATAGCGGAAATTATGCCCAATTTCTTGTAGTTGTGTCCATTTTTTTATTTTTCCATTTGAAATATAAAGGTCCGAGATATAGACAATGCCCTTTAAAATGAAATCTAGATAACACACACTCTTGTTATCAATGAGAATGTTGGCGTTATTCCAAATTATATTGTTAGCAACTGTTTGAACTGGTTGCTGGCAATGTAATTTCCACCAACTGCACAATAGACTGTGATAGAAAGGGGGTAGAGTAACAGGTAATAGCTCAATTTTATAATTACATCTAAAAATTAAGGAACCACCAAGGGGAAGCAGATAGTGTGATAAAAAAAGTTTCCAGGGATGATTAATTTTTGGATTTAGAAAGCGCTGAACCCATTTAACT